TAAAATGATATAATTTTGTGCATTCTGAGTTATAATATGAACGAAATATAATACTTTTAAGTGAACCTAGCGCCAGAGTGCCGCTATGGTAAACAAATAGAGTGAATTTTAAAGAATGCATTTATTCTATTGTGGTTTATGCGCTGTCGGCGAAGTAGGTTTAATTCAATGCAATAAGTTTAAACGAAATGCAAGAAAAAATGCGTATAATTTAATACTCCGTACAAGGAAGTCATGTGGTGTACATATCAGATTTTTTCATTTAGTTACGGGTTGCTCTAAACCTTCTTTTAGTGATGTTGTAATTAAGTATCGGGAGATTTTAAAGGAAAATTTAAGGTGGGAGATTTCAGACAAGAGTAAAAGTTTGGGAAAGCCAGGCATTCCAAATAGATATTTTATGTATGAATTAACAAGAGGGTATGAACTTTTTAGAGGATTTTTGATGGATTGTGGATTATTGAAGGATAAAGTTTGTTGTGAAAAATGTAAAATACCATTCAAAGGTATCTTACATTTGGGAGAGCCAAGCAAAGGAGCCAAGCAAAACATTTTTGCAGATTGCTTTGGCAGAAAAGGAAGACGCAGTGCGATTCCTGTTTGTGGAAAACACACAATTAAATGATCTAAAACTAGATTCAAGCGCGTAAATTTTGGGATTAAGTCAAGTCCGTTTTTGTTGGCTGCAACAATTAGAGAACACATTAGAAAATATCGAGATGAGCAGCCAGATGTATTTGAAATATTGAATTCTTGTGTTTATGTTGATGATTTTATTACTGGACAGGACAGTATAGATGAGGCTCTAAGCTTATCGCATAAAGCTAAACAAATTATGAGTGCAGCAAATATGAACTTGCGTAAATGGGTATCCAATGATCCTGAGCTGATGAGAAAATGGGAAAAAAAAAAAGATTTCGAGATCCATCCACATAAAATCAATGACTCAAACGAGACACTTAAGATCTTGGGATACTAATGAAGACAGTCTGAGTATAGACACAGACAGTTTGATGGAATTCCTTAAGAATAAGCGTAATACGAAACGGATTCATCTTGAAAACTGCCGGGAAGATTTTTGATCCCTTTGGGTTAATAACTCCATTTACTGTTAGACTTAAATTCTTGCTACAAGAACTTTGGGTTCGAAAATTGACATGGGATGATGAACTACCTACAGATATCTGTCAAGAGTGGGCAAAGTGGTGCTGTGAGTGTCATCATCTAAGTAAAATTGCAGTTCCAAGATTCATTTTGAATCCCGAAGCCGATTCCATAGAGATCCATTGCTTTTCAGATGCCAGTCAGAGGGCGTACGGTACTGTTGTCTACGTAAAACTGCGTAAGCAAGAAGAAATTTCTGTGAGTTTCGTCGCATCAAAATGTCGTGTTGCACCTGTGAAAAGAATTACGTTACCTCGTCTTGAATTACTTGGTGCATTACTAGCAGCGCGTTTAGGTTCTGGAGTGAAAAAAATTGCTCGATCAAAAGAAATCCTCGAGAATATTTTATTGGACTGATGCCAAAATAGTGCTATGCTGGATTAAAGGTACCAGTACCAAATGGAAATCTTTCATCGCCAACAGAGTTAACGAGATTAGGAAGTTAACACAGCCGACAGAGTGGTTCTATTGTTCAACAAAAGAGAACCCAGCAGATGTTATGACGCGTGGTGTTCAAATTGACTTTCTTGTGAACTGTTCCAAATGGTGGTCATGCTGTGACTTTCTAACATGCTCAGAGATTCCTCCTCATCAGGACTTATCAATTGAGGTAGTTGAAGAAGTGTGTCCAAATGAACTTAAAAAGGACAATGAACTGCATAACGATTCTAACTTAGTTTTAATTGCATGTAATGAACCAAACCTCTTTAATGATATTCTTAATTTGTCTTCTAATTATACTAAACTTATTCGTATTGTAAGTTTCATTTTCAGGTTTATCCATAATCTTAAGAACCCTCAGGTAAGGAAGTACGGAGTACTTACTTTAGAAGAGATAAAGGATGCTGAGGTGTATATTTTATTAGAGGCCCAAAAAAGTGAGTTTAAAGACGAAATAAATCAATTAAAAAGAGGTAAGTGTGTAAATCTCAAAAGTAAATTAGCATCACTGAATGTGTTTCTTGATAACATGGGGCTAATTAGAGTGGGCGGACGATTGTCCTATTCGGACCTACCCGCTAATAGTAAACACCCTACTACCTAGTAAACATCGTTTAACTACTATTATTTTAGAGCATTTTCATTTGAAGTACTTTCATTTAGGATCACAATCACTGTTACATCAGGTAAGACAAAGGTTCTGGCCATTCAATGGCAGAAATAATTGTAGAAAGATCATCTACAGATGTGTGACATGTTTTAAGAACAAACCCATCACAGTTCAACAAATAATGGCCGAGTTGCCCAGGGAGCGTGTCACACCATCATACCCATTTAACATAACTGGTGTTGATTTCTGCGGCCCATTTGCAATAAAGTTTAAGAATCAACGTAAGGGAGTTTTGAACAAAATTTATGTCGTAGTATATGTATGTATGAGTACAAAAGCCATACACTTTGTGACAGACCAAACTAGCCAATCTTTTATTTCGAGCTTAAAACGTTTTTTCTCTAGAAGGGGAAAATGTACTGGAATAATGAGTGATAATTCTAAAACCTTTATTGGTACTAGTGTAGAACTCAAAAAATTGCAAAAATTGGTTGAGTGTCCAGATGAGAATTTAGCGAGTTTTTATACCACTGAAGGTATAGAGTGGAAATTTATTCCTCCAAAGTCGCCAAATTTCGGCGGAATTTGGGAGGCCGGGGTTAAATCATTTAAGAGTCATTTGAAGAGAGTTATTGGTAATCAGTGTTTAACTTTAGAAGAATTTTTAACTGTTTTAACTGAAATTGAAGGAGTATTGAACTCAAGACCTCTTACTCCAATTTCAGCTGATTACAATAATTTTGAAACTTTGACCCCAGGTCACTTTTTGGTTGGTAGACCTATCACAACTCTAGCTGAGCCAGATTTATCCAACATAAATGAAAACAGACTTTCTAAATGGCAAAGAATCACTAAGTATACACAAAAAATTTGGAAATTATGGAAACGTGATTATCTTAATAATTTACAAGAACGTCACAAGTGGAAATTTTTAAAGGATGACGTTCAGTTGGGAACTCTTGTATTAATAAAAGATGAAAATTTGCCTTCAACCAAATGGTTAGTGGGGGGGAGAATAGCTGAGGTTTTTCATGGTAGGGATAACAAAATAAGAGTAGTAACTGTAAGATTGCCTAATCAGCATTTGCTGAAACGAAATGTTCGAGATATATGTATACTTCCTGTAGAATGATGGTTTATTTCTATTATAAACTGGTATTTGTTGTAATAATTTGAATGTATATTTTTCAATATTGTGATTTGTTATTGTGAAGTAATTATTGTAGTGCCTTTATATTTACATTTATTGAAATAATAGTTTTGAAATTGTTAATTTCAACGCCGGGAGTGGGTTTGTATTAGCTGAGAAATGCTTGGCGCCAGAGCGGAATCTTGGCTAATGGCGCATGCGCCGCGGGAATTGGCACTGAAATGTATTCTGTGAGAAATTTTATTTGTGTGGTACATTGGAAGTTGCGATTCATACGTTACGCTGTAAGGTGGAACCTAGCACCTGAGTGTCGCTGTGGAAAACAAAGGTATTTAAACTGTTTAATGTGTGTGGAGTTATTTTATTATGATATATAGCTATCGACGGGAAATAGAATAAGTCAACAGGCAGGAACGAAAAAAAAAAAAGACACGAGAAGAAAATGTTTTTATGTACAAAATCAACGCAAAGTGCTTCTTTGCAACAATACAGTATTCGCAATAAATATTCACAAAAGGGAACACTAACAGTAATAGGAACTACAGCTGAGATTGGGCTGGCAATGCAGCGGTAAAGGGCGGTAGTGAGCCGGACAAACCACGATCCGATGCATCAGAAGATCATTCGCAACTCTCATGTCGAGCGTGATGGGTAAGTTTATGCACAACATAATGATTATGTGGTTCCAGCATGATGGTGCACCAGCTCATAACCACGTGCAGGACTGCAATTACTTGGATGGAACATTTCCGGGCAGATCGATTGGCCGTGGTGGACCCTTTCGATGGCCACCCCGTTCGCCACATTTATCCAGCTTGGATTTTTTTTTTATGCGGCCATCTGAAGAGTATCATTTACGAGACTCCCGTTGACTCACCGGAGAACCTCGCTGCACGACTATCCATTGCGGTAGCAAGCGTGCGCGAAATGCCTGTCGTTTTTCAAAATTTCGTCAATCCCTTCTGCGACGTTACCAAGCATGTATTACTGCTGGTGGTCGCAATTTTGAACATTTATTTGTGACTACTGTATTGCTACAAGGAAGCACTTTGCGTTGATTTTGTACATAAACACATTTTTACTCGTGTCTTTTTTTTTTTTTTTTTTTTTTTTTTTGCGTTCCTGCCTTAACCCGTCACTTTAGACCCTGCATTCCTATCAAAAAATGCATGTTTTAGTATGCTCCACCACCCCTCCAAGTTTGTCCCATGATCTATGAAACACCCTGTTTAAAAACATAATCACCGTTTCATGGTACCTTGCAATTTATTACTTCTTTCCAGTTGGCAAGAAACATACAATCGAGATATATTCTAAATTTAACACGGAATGATTATTAGATGAATCTCTTAATTAAAAGCAATTTGAAATCATGTCTAAAAATTAAACAATAAATAACTACTTAATTTTTATTTATTATTAGGATCCTCCTAATGGCTAAATTGTAAAACAGAAGTATTTAAATGAAACTAAAAAATTACTACATTTTTAATGCTAACGTCGTCAAATCTTAAAATTATCGAACATGAATAATACATGGTCTACTTATGACGAAGTGATATTCATTTAGATTTAAACATATTATTACAAGCAGACAAAGCTGGTTACGTAAATTAAAGTAATTAAAATTCTTACTATAGTCCATAATCGTCTTCTACAGATATTCTTTAAGTATAATTCATTTAAAATTAAATGGCATTTCGTAATTTCACACAACTCAGAAATAAGAATGATTACTTTATCGCTGCCAAAACTGCCTTTCTAAAAAATAAATTAACATGAAATGGTAGAATTTTTACTGCCTTATACGAAGCAAAGGAAGTATTTAATTGCGAAAAATTTCATTTATCATATTTTAACAAAAATATCCATTTGCACCGCTCTCGAATCCATTTGAACAATGTAAAAATATCTACAAGGTTTCAGATTTTAAATTACATTCAAAGGGGCATTTTTTGACATTTTGTGCGTTACCTTTATTTATTAAATATTATGTTCTTTCCACTTAAACCATAAAATTCAGTTCAACAGCAATATCGCAAAATAATTTTAAAATGAGTATGTCTTTAAATTTAACTATACAGAGCCTCGCGCGCTGAAGATAAAAATGCTTTGTTTCTTTTTTCGTACAGTGTTTTATTGCCGTGGCTCGATTTGAAATCGTTGAGTTTGTTAATCAAAAATTCGTTGAAGTATTACAAATATGAAATCGATAATAAAACAAATTTCAGATTCAAATTACGACTTCCAGATGCCCGTATTGTATGGAAAATTATGTTATTCAAATTTTGATGGCTCTAGGTTCTGTTGTTTTATCACAATGCGAGATATATACATACAATCATGTAGATTCCTTATTATTTAATTTCTTTAAATATAACACAGGGCTCTAATATTTGATGGCAACAATTTGAAAAGTGAAAGAACGCTTATGGTGAATCGACTCAAAATTGCCAAAACGAAATTAATCGTCCTTCTGGGCAACTATCTCCTTTGGATTAATAACGTACTTCTCCACTCGAATATGGGCATCTGGAAGCCCAAATTTAAAATTTGTTTTATTATCTATTTCATATTTTGTAAAGTATTTATAAGTTTTTGATTAAGAAACTCAACGATTTCAAAGCAAGCAATGGAATAACTGTACGAAAAAAAAAAAAAAAAAAAGAAAAGAAAAAGAAACGCACAGCATGCATTATTATTGTATTTTATCTCCAGCGCGCCAGACTGTCTTTCGGAAATTCTAAAGATATGCTTTTTAAAATATTTTGTCATTTTTACGTTGAATTGAATTTTATGGTTTAAGTGCGTAGAATATTGTAAAGGTAACAGACAAAACGTTAAGAAAAAAAAAAAAAAAAAAACACTTTATCGATAATTTGACGATTTTTCACGAAAATTGCAAACTTGCATTCAGTAGGTAACTTTTTAACTTTTTCATCATTATTCTAATGCTATTGTAATCACTTATTATATTTTACATCATACATATTATTATTGTATTTTACATTTAAAAGATTGCGCATTATTCCAAATTTTCGGTTTTTTTTTATTAAAGAGAAATTAGGTATGTCGATTATTGTTGAACTGAATATTACGATGCGCAAAGAAAGTATAACATCCTTTAGTCCGAGAAATATTAAAATCAAAGCTATATATTATATTCATTTGTGGTAAAATTTTTTTTAATTAATGCAGTCATTTCTTGAAATTTTTATAAAATAATGAATATTGGCTGCTTAATAGTCTATAAGAGAATATGAAGTTGGGTGGTAAAATTAAAGGGCTTTGCAACGTAAATTATTTTTTCTTTTCTTATTTGTGTTGTTCCGTGCGTACGAATTTCCTAATATATTGAACGAACAAGTCCGATAATAGGTGAATAAAATTTATTTTTATCAAAAGATATATTTCAGAACTCTGGAATTCGTACAAGTGTTCACCGTGTCACGCAGTATAATCATTCTACCTTCCATTTTTGGAGCCAAATATTTTCGGATGATGGTAACGTTGGCTCTTGTATCGATGCTTATATTACAAGGAACTCCATTCATATGTCCCATGATGAACAGTCTCATTGCAGAAATCTGAAGCGCTTTAAAATTTGGCTTCTGTTTATCTGGCAATCTCTGCCCCGCGAGATGGCCACAAATTAGTTTCCCTGCTTCTTGCTAGGAGTATTTTAACATCCGTGCCCTGGGGTGTTCTGCAGTTTCTTCGTATGTGGTCCTCACCTCAGTTCTAGCACTTTAGGATCGGTTTCTTGTTACCAATATTCCGTCTCAAGGAATTCAGTTGTCTCGTTAAATCATCAAGGCGAGCAGCCATTTGATCCACAGGCTCATGGACTTGCGCAGTTTTGATTGCGTGTCGGTCTGTACGAATTGCTTACTGTGCTGCCTCGAATTTCATGGCATACACCAGAGCGCTTTTTAAGTCCTTAACATCCGCCATTCGTAGAGCCTTCTGTATTTCCGGAACCCGGATGCCATCGATGAAGTACTGCAGGGACAGGATTTCCCTTGTTTCTGTCGAGCACTTCGAAAAGACGAAGTGAGACAGCCTTTAAATATTCGTGGCGAGTTCCAGGAGTGTCTCTGTGGGCTTCTGTTGGCGGGATTTTAAATGAAGCTTGCTATAATCTTTCAAACACTTTTCGCCAAAGCAGAGCTCCAGCGCGCCGGATAGAGCTTTAAAGTCTGGTTTTCGGGAAAAGTTTGGAGAATAACTGATACGCCTGCTCTCAGAAAGGCGGCGAGATGACAGGCCTTAGCTTGGGAATCCCATCCGTTCGCGTCCACCACAATAGAAAATCGTGTCTTATAAACTTGCCTGGCGGTCTTACTATCATAAGGGAGTAGCTTCAAAGAGAAACGAGAAGGCATGGGTAAAAGTTTAAAAACGTCAGAACTGGTTACTGTTGTTGCTGTGCATTTCTATAAGGTGTAAGTTTCTTTGGCGACAGCAACAGAAATTCTGTCTTCAATTCTTCGAATTCGATTCGCTCTGGGGCTGCCGAAACTCTTTCTTCAATTTCTCCAACTCTGTTTTCAAATATGTCTATTCTGTCTTCCATAGCTTCAAATTTCCTCTTTATTATGGCAGTAGCATATATTTTCATTTCCTCTTGGTCCACTTTCATCTGTTCTTTGATGGATTCTTGACCAGCTCTAACCTCTTCTTTGAACGCAGTAAAAGCTGCCACAAACTGCCTTAATTTTTCAGCCATCCCTCTTGTCACTGGCATTTAGTCCCACTCCTGGCACCAAAAATGTTGGTGCAGGCGGCTTCGTAACAGATGGAATGCACAAGTCCGATAATAGCTTAAAACGTTTATTTTTATCAAAAGAAATATTTCAGAGCTCTGGAATTTTCCACAGATATTTTCGTACAAGGGTTCACAATATCACACAGCATAATCAATAGTTACATTTCAAACTACTAAGAATGTTAAACACAACACAATGCAAAGCACATCTAAAGAGAAAGCTTACTTAGATATCTCAGTTTACGCAGAACTGAACTGCTTGCAACAACAATAACTAAGCAATTGGACCCGCCGAGATTTTTCTAGTATTTTCTGCTTCTCGAAATTACTCGACAGCAATACGAGGGTGGTATTACTGTTACAGCTAACATATCGGTCAATTGCATTTATTCACTTACAATACTTATTTCGGTGATATAGGGACCGGACCAAAGTGACATCATATTTAGCGACTTTTGGTGATTAATCAGCAGATTTGGAGACAAAAAATAAGTCGTCAAAACCGTTGTCAGCTTGGCCATATCTTGCCAAATTACGGAGGTACTCATTTAATCAATGTTAAATGCACTTGCCCCTGAACTCTCACTTTTCCGGCATAGCTTTCTCTTCAAATTTGTCTCGCGCTATATTACACAAAGACATACAACAATGTTACTTTACAATTTACAATAATTACTAAAATTAATTATCTAAGTACAAAGTCCGTAACATTGCCCCCTTTCCGAGGACTCCATGTCCTGGGCGCGTATTTCCAAACCCTAGCCCACTTTTCGAATTTTTGACGTCATGGACAAATCGACTAGTTTCGCCTGGATGGTAATTCTTGAGCATGCGCTGAAGGGCGAGAAGTAACATAAACAGAACTTTGGCTTGCACTTGTAAACAGTATTAAGTATATTGTCTGAAAGTGTATTCGTTTATGTAATTGCATAATTTGACTGTTTCTGTAATAAGAAAACTTCATTCAGATGAAATTTAGGCTAAATCGCAGAATAGGCTGCATCAGTCGATGCTGTGTTTACTTCTCTTATGCTTGGACACGCCTTTTTATGACGTAATATTGGTTACGCCTCTTCTTCAAAACAAGTTATAAGTATGCTATAGCTTCGTATTTAAAGAAAACTTATATTTATATTTAACTGAGTTGAAATAGTAGGTTATAATGTTCTGTGCGAGATTTTTTAAATTGTAAATCTACTTTTGTGTGTTGTGTGGTATTGTTAGCATTTAACGCAACGAATTATCTCTCACAAATGTATTATTAAGATACCAAACGATTGAAAATATTGAATGCATGAATTAAAAATTATAACCGTAGCTTCTGAAAATACAGAAAAGAATTCTTTTGCTTAAAGAATGTTTTGATTATTCATGAGTGTGTTTAATTCGGTGCTTACTGCAGAATGGATGAGTACTTGAATCTGGATTTCTTTTATCAGTTGGAGCGCGAGAGAGATAAAAAATGTGTTATTGAGTGGTGTATGTATGGAGAAAGGTTTGATTGCAAATATCGTATAAGTGCCCGATTTGTGGAACAAATATGAAACTAGTAGAGAGCGAAAAAAAACCGTATAGACGGTTTTGAGTGGATGTGCAGAGTTACTGGAGGCGAATGTAGGCATCGAATTTCAAGATCAATTCGAAAGAACTCCTGGTTTGCGAAGAGTAAATTGAGCATGTGTGATGTTTTGCGAGTTACCTATATGTGGTTGGGTAAGTGCGGGAATGATTTTATACGAACGGAATTACGTATTGCTAAAAATACGGTGGACAGATGACAGATTGGAAAAGTTTTTGTAAAGAAGTATGCATGGAGTTATGTTTGAAGGAGAATGTTAAGTTGGGTGGGGAAGGTGTCATTGTCGAAATCGACGAAAGCAAGTTTGGCAAGCAAAAAGTATCATAGAGGGAAAAGAGTCGAAGGAAAATGGGTTTTTG